AAGATTATTTAAATCTATAAAGATACTACAATATGTCAACCTGTCAGAATTAATGATATAATCATTATTAATAAAACAATTAGATTAAATGAATATTGACTCACTGGTAGCATAGTGCCTAAGGCACTTGACTGCTAACCAGCCACTCCCTGGAAGGATGATGGGGCAATCTACATCTGTAGTGATACTGCCTTGGAAACCCAACCAGGGGTGCTAGGACTGGATGGCACATAACAACACCAACAACAGTCATCAATCACAATACACATGTAAATAAGCTGCCTGGCATTGTGTGTGTTCTATTCTTATGTAGAAACACTCAAATTGATGCAAACAGAAAATCAGTGTGGCTGGATGTCAGGTAGAGTATGGTTACAGTTAAAATACATAGGTCCCATTTTACATACACAACAAGCAAATATGTTTTCAAACAATTCCTGGATATACAATTTTTATTACAACATATGATCTGAATAAAAGTGAAAATACAAAAAGAATGGAAAGTCAGCAGTGTACAATTTCTTACCTGCTTCCTCAGATCTTCAATTATTGGGTAGTACTTGCTGTAATCCCTTCCAGACCCACCATCTCCAGACCTAGGCCCAAATTTGTCATACCACTCCTTGATTTTGTTCTCCAGGTCAGTGTTGGCCTCCTCCAGGGCTCTGACCTTGTCCAGGTAATTAGCCAGGCGGTCATTGAGGTTCTGCATGGTTTGCTTTTCACCTCCGGAGAAAAGTCCCCCATCGCCAGCACCACCACCCATAGCACCACTGCCCATACCACCGCCATAGCTGTAGAAGCCTCCACTAGCCCCTCCGCCAAGTCCAGAGCCCCCGCCGAATCCAGAGCCCCCACCAAAGCCAGCCCCACTGCCCGAGGCTCCTCCCATACTGCGACCTATTGAACAGCTACCAAAGCCCCCTCCAAAGCTGCCCCCAAAACCACCGCCAGCTCCCCCACTCAGGCCGCAGCTGCTGGCTCCTCCTCGGAAGCCCCGGGAAGAGCCGCCCCCCAGGCCGCATCTGCTTCCACTGCTGAAGCTGCTCCCACCAGCGGACCCGCTGACAGAGCTGCTGCCCCCAGCCCTCGCCGAGGAGACACGCGATGAGCAAGACATGGTGTTCTCCAACCTTTAGCTTGTCTGAACCAACAGGAAGGGTGATAAGGAAGAGCGCATTCGTAGGCTGCTTTTTGGCTCTTATATACGCATTTCTAGGGTGTTCCTTTTCTGTGTCACTTCTTAATCCCTATTAAAGTTTTGCTAATCGGTAATTGGATAATATCTTTTTCGTGAAGCCACTTCACTGGTTCTTTTTCCTGAAGCTGGGTCAGAGCCCTGGGGCCTTTACTATGTCAAGGAAACAAAAATTTCAGAATTACAATTTTAATATTTCAGAGATTCTGAAGACTTGTAAATTTGTTTCTGAAAAATAATTTTCTTAAATTTGCTTCATGATTTCCTAATTGCAGAGCACATCCCAGATTAACAAATGTGTTTAAAATGTTTAATATGATGAAAATGAAAATCTCTCATCCAACATGTAGCTTTTTGTTCAGATTGCTCTCAAACGTTGAAATGAGTTTAGCATCAGCATTTCCTTCACAAGGATTTAAGTGGCCTTCCCTGGGATTACTTCAATTAGCATATTTTTAAGGTTACTGTTTGTGGTTTAGGGGTTTGCTTTCTTTGTATCTTGAGACCAAAGTGTGTATTTTTGCTCTTAAGAAGAAAAACTCAAACGAACAATAGTCTTTCATGGAAGTATTATTAGAGCTCAGCAACACGTGTATTTGAGCAGATAATATCTGAGAAACATTGGTAAAGTTTCGAGGCAGATTGTTTTAGCATCAGTTGGTGGTTTAAACCCATCAGCCACTCCTCAGAGGGTTGGACAAACTACTTCCATAGTGATATCGCCTCGGAAACCCAAGGAGGGGTCGCTATGAATCGTGGCCGACTCGACGGCATATAACAACAACAGCAACAAATTATCACTGGTCTGGTGCCTCAGACTGGCTTTTCTTTCTGAGTGAATTCTAGTCTGATATAATGATAGCCACTTTCTTCTTTGGAATCCAACCTGAAGAAATTAGGAGGTGAGGCTGATGTCTTCTGTTCTTATTTTAGTGATGTCTGAGGAGACGCTCGGAATCCCTCTGAGAACCAATGTTATGCTTGCAATCCTTTCCAAAGGCTGAACCCTGGAGTCTCCCCACTTCGCTCTCAGCTCATGTCTTTCTGTTTTTGTTTGAAAAATATCTGAAAAAGAGGATCGTAGCCACCCTGATAACTACTGCTGCTATTGGGTCATAGTCCAGACACTGTCACCTCGAATCTTCTCCAGCCCACTACTGACTTCATGGTTTCTGTCCCTTTGCACTTTAGTCTCTTTGCATTTGCCTCTGTTAGTGATTTTTCCGGGAGCTCTGGTAGCATAGTGCCTAAGGCACTTGACTGCTAACCAGAAGGCTGGTGGTTCAAACCCACCAGCCACTCCTTGGAAGGAAGGTTGGGCAATTCTACTTCCGTAGTGATACTGCCTTGGAAACCCAAGGAGGGGTCGCTATGAGTCGGGGCCGACTCGACAGCAAATAACAACAACAACAACAGTGATTTTTCTGGTTTAAAGCGTCTTTTGTTTTTCTTAAAAATATAGATACTTCAAAATATACTCCTTGGTCTCCTGAACTTTATAACCAGTAGCCAGCTAAGTTTTGTTTAAGTAAAACTTTCTTCCTGGACATTTCTATTAAACTATGTGTATGCTTTGCCTTTCAATCATTTGTTATCCAACATTTTGCCTTCCTTCAAGTATTTAGACTGCCTTTGATTGGGACCCATTGTTAAATAAGTGATATTTCTCTTTACCGTGTAGCTCTTTATTAGTTTTTTATGCTTTCTGTACTATCTCTTAGTTCAGTATGTTACTGTTCTTCCAAAGGTTTATAAGGTAGGTATTTTACAAACTCTGAAATTGTTAAGTTGGGAGTTTACACGTCTGAGGTAAGAAAAAAAAAATGCAGCAAACATAATATGTTGGTCATCTTACCTCCGCCCTCCCAAAAGCTATGAAACCAAAGAAGTCCAAACATTAATGATTGAATGGTGTAAATTCATACAATGGGAGGAACAGGCATTGGTGTTTATTTTTGGTTTGTTTATTCATCTGCTTCTCTAAATTGTGAAATATAATCATTCCACTTCCTTAAAGGGTGGCCTCTGACTGAAAGAAGGTCCAAAGAAAGGAACACCAGCTAAGTGAAAGAAATCTGATCATATTTAGAAAAATAAGAGACTGGGTAGAAGGAGTTTTATGTGGAAGAATGAAGAGAGACAAGATTTAGCAGCCTCTTCTGCCTCTCAGTCTTTCCCAGGCTCTGTGGAGCTGTTCGTTCATTGTCCTCTGTGTTGTAACTTTTCATTTTGGCTGCTTTATTACCTTATGACATGTCTAGACATTTGGATCTTCTCAATCTCGGAAGCTTGTGATGATGGGTATTCTATCTTGTTTCCTATCTTTTAACTTTCTTCTTGATCATTTTTAATTCTGACATCCATCTTTCTTTTTAAAATTTTGAAATCCAGGTTCAAAATTAAGATGCTTTTCTGACACTCTTTACTTCAGAGGCAACCACTCTGAAGGGCATTTAATGAACAAAACAGCCATTACTGACTCAAATTCTTTGCCTAATAAGGCATCGTGTAAATAAATGTGTGGTTTAAGGCGTGGGATTTTCTGCTCTGTTAGTATTCCCTTCAATGCATTTTCATATTTTCTGTGTCTCTACATGACTTTTTTTAATGCCAAATCTATCAAATAGACTTACTTCGATTCAGTGATTTGCACGCTGTCTGGAACATGGACACTTAGTAGATTAGAAGATTTTAGTCATATATATAAAAACAATTCTTGCCTGAAGTGTTAGAATTTTTTAAGTAAACATTAATTTTGAGACAACCCAAACCTGATACTCTTTCTCTTTATTTAAAATAATGACTTGCCAAAAACCACAAGTTAGCTCTTGGCATCTCTTTCATCTGTGCAATGAAAGCCTCGAGAAGCTGGTGAAGCTCCAGTGATGTGGTACATTCAATAACGTCAGCAGCTTCAGGGCCTGGCATCCCGTGGGTGTGCAATTTGAGAACGTAAAAATGAACCAAACCCTAGATGTCTGGGCTCCTGGTACAACGCTCTGCCCTTAGCTGTCTTTTGTTTTGTGTGGTGGTGAAAAGTTCGTTACAAGCAGTGTCTGTTTACATGCAAAGAATTGTATAAATTACACTTCATTGCAGAATGTAAATTTTTTAATAAATGCAGAATAATTTTCAGATAGTAAGCATCACCATTTTTGTGAGATGGATTACTAATATTGATGTTTAGTTTTCAGATCAATATATTTAGATTAGAAGGATAACCAGATACTGAAATGTCTGGTACCTTGTGCCTGATGAATCTTTATAAAGAGTCCAGAAGAGAACTCAGGGCTTCTGTGTTTTGTTCATTCCAGAGAATAGTCTGTTATGTGTTTTTCAAATAAAAGCATCGTATCAAAGCAGTTAAGGAAAGTAACAGAGTATAGAGTACAGGTGGTCCCCGATTTCCCACGTATTTGTGTAAAGACAAACTGCATTTATGACTGGCTTTCTTTTTTTTTGGTACATTTAATCGTTAGTAATATGTACTACATTCAACTTTGCAGTGTGCTATTTGCTGATGTTATCATTCTCAGATGTTCACCTGCAGATGTACAGAGATTGGGTTTATAATGATATTGATCATAAAAGACAATAATAATGAAAACTAAGAAAAAAGAGGTATTCAACTTATGTTGGAGTGAATTTATGATGGGGTTGTTAGAACAGAAGCTCGTAAGTCAAGGACTATCTGTAGTTGCTGGATGTTGACAGAACTTTTTGAGGCAGACAGTAGTAATTGTTAAATGCTCTCCTTAAATGTCAATCCTAAGAGAAGGCCTGAACAAAAAAGGCCGGAGAGAAAAGGATGCTTGCTTGGGAATTCTTTCAAGGCAATGTTCTCTGATTAAAGTTATAATTTGTTGTTGTTGTTGTTATTTGCCATCAAGTTGGCCCCGACTCATAGCGACCTGAAGAATTAAATAATAAATGGATAAACAGAAAACAAAAAAACAAACTCACTGCTGTCCAGTCGATTCTGACTCATAGCGACCCCTCCTTGGGTTTCCGAGGTGGTATCTCCATGGAAATAGGTTGTCCAGTCTTCTTTCCAAAGAGTGGCTAGTGGGTTTGAACTGCCAGCCTTCTGGTTAGCAGTCAAATGCCTTAGGCACTACGCCACTAGAGCTAATTATGATACATAGACCAAGAAGGGAATCAAAGCTGATATTTCATCTAGAAAGTAATGAAAAGAATACGTCATATCTGAACTTTGGGGCTATAGCTGAAATTGTATCCTGAGGAAAATTTATAGCCTCAAATGGCTACATTATTAAAGAAGAAAGCCAAAGATGAAGAAACTCAACACATAAATATTTTTTTAAAAAAACAACAAAAATATAGGAAAAATAAATTGTAGAGGTTAGACCTGAAATTACTGAAAATAACATACATAAATAACATTCAAAATCTGGTTCTTTTAAAAGACCAGGAAAATAGATAACCTCTTCATGAGCCTAGTTAAGAAAGAAAGAGAAAAAGCCAAAATATACAAGTTTAAAAATGGGAACTTTACTGTGAGTCTAGGAAAGATTAAAATTGTTGTAAAAGAATGCCATGTTCAAGTCAATGGCATCACATTTGGAATCATTCTAGTATTTAGCCAAATTATTCTTACAACCCTGAGGATACTCTCTGTGCCTGTCAGACAAGTCCTGTCAAGGCTCAAAAGAGGGATGTGGAATGGGCAGGCTGAGGTCTGTCTGCACTGCCGTGGGGCATGCTGGGAGAGAAGGGCCCAGGGCTCATCTCATGTAGGAAACAGGGTTGTTGAGAAACCATGGTAGAGCTGTGGCCTTTGATAGGAAGGGCTGACAGGACAAGTCTGAAAAGAGATGTAATGTAGCACATCTGGGTCAAGGTTAGGGGGATCGGGCCTCAAGGATGATTGGCTATTGACTCCCATTCTGCATCCAGCCCCC